TAAAAAAAAAAGTTGATCTTGACAGACTAAATAATACAGTTTGAAAAAGCATAAGGGGGTCTAGTTAGGGTGACCAACAGTCCTGTTTTCACATAACATGTCCTATTTTCACGTCCTGTCCTGGTTGTTTTTTTTATAAAGTGATGAAAATGTTGTGGTTTTCAAAAAAACTGCTGGAAAGATCAGCTCTACAGCATAATATAGGAAATATATATATAGGCTATAGAAACAGGATAAAGAAGAAGAAAACTAAAGATATAAATATATTTTGTTAGTTTTAGTAAGTTTGTGAGAGCTTTTGTTCAATTTCGAGGTATTTCTTTTAATTATTTATTATTTATTTATTTTCCTAATACAGAAGATACATTATTTCTATCATTATTTCATTCATTTTTTAAAACCTTTCATAATAAAACATGTTGAGTAACCTCTGAGAAGCCTATCTGAATTTGTGTCTTGTAATATATATATATATATATGTGTGTGTGTGTGTGTGTGTGTGTGTGTGTGTGCGTGTGTGTGTGTGTGTGTGTGTGTGTTATCCATACAGAGGAGGCATAGCCTACTTTGAAAAGTATTGAAACTAATAAGACATCTTATGAGACATTAATAAGACAACTATCTGTTTGCCAGGCCGAGTGTCCTGGTTTTTGGTATTCAAAATATGGTCACCCTAGGTCTAGTTTACTTACAAGACATAATTTCAAGATTACATTTTACCATTTTATCACAAACACCCCTATGCATCAACTTCTACAAGCAATCTATCTATGGGTGTATTTTCTGCACTAAACAGGAGGGGGAGTATTAGAGCGAGGAGGGGGGGAATCAAACTAGCATAAAGACCAAGGACTTTCACCAACAGAAACACAGTTTAATAAGTTATGAATCTATTCAGGGTTCAGGTATATGCTAATATATGTAAAACACTAGAATGTAGGCTACGGTACAAGAGCTTTGCATGCCAATACTTTGAAGCTGGTTGCTGCAACAGCATCCTTTCAGTACAAGGAAATATTTCACAAATTACACATTCAGACATTTTCTCATAAATCAGAGGGTTGCTGCATTTGAATTGAGGTAAATAGCACGCAGGATTTGGAATTTCAGACCGAAATTGACACCAAATATCGTACACTAAACAAACAATATCGCCTATGCTAATTATTTATAGATGCATAGACAATGTTGTATGGCACTTAACGCGTTGATTGTTTAATATCAAACAGAATTTATGAAAATAAGGATAATTTAATTTTACAGACCATGCCTGGTGAAAGAACATAATTTGCCATAACGCAAATCAGTAAATTCCTATTCCAGTCAAAATCTCAAATCAACTTCCTGTTGTTAGGCCAGGCAAAAACAACTGGAAGTACGTTGTTAAATTCTGTTGTTAAAATGCGATTTATCTTGATTAGAATCAAAAGCATGATTGAATGTTGCCGTTAAATTGCCAGATTGCCGTCTTCCTTCTGAAGTTCCCCAAAATGTTTGAAATGTGTCTAAAAATATTGACCCATGAGTGTGTGTCCCTGCAAAAACAATATCATTTGATGACAGTAGATGGGGAAAAACAAACCTGGTGTATTTAAATAACCCGCAAAAATCTCTTCCAACTTTGAATAAGGCCTACTTGAGTTAATGCGCATGACGCGGCTGCTTGCTTGAGCTCCTCCGACGACCCTAGCTCGACTTTTGTTGATGACGTCAAAGCGAGTCACGTGTGTAAACAAAGTTGCTGCCACGTGGTCAGGCGGGAAAGCTCCCTACCTTGACAGTTGAGTTTGACAGCCCACGAGAGACACGGTTCTACAAGAGTGGTGAAACTTAAATTTATATAATTCTTCTTAAACAATATAGCGTTTTTAATAAGTGAGATTGTACTGAGAATGAAGTCACGAGAAACTTAATGTGTAGCCAAGAAAGCAAAGAACATAATAGGGTTAAAAAATAAACTAGTAGCTTCCTGTTCCTTGTTTACTAAAGTGTTACACCGCAAACGGTCGTGGGATTTTGGCTCTAAGAGGAACAACAACAATACATCGCAACACTATTAATATATAAATATGTTATATATATATATATATATATATATATATATATATATATATAATATTTATATTGTATTTAAATTTATTCATGGCATAAATAAAAACATTAATGTTCAGTGTCTCTGTAGCAGCATGGGGTGAAAACCAATAATAGGCAATAAAGTAGGCTATATTTTGTATTCTGTAATCTTTGACTGTTAACAGTCTTGACTGGCAACTGGGATTACACTACTGTTACCTTTGAATAATGTTTTATTGAATGTTTATATAATTGTGCCCCCCCCCCCCACACACACACACACACACACACACACACACACACTTTCAATTCTTTTACTTAAATGAAAGGTTATAATTTTGCCAATTTTTGGAATGAAAGATCAAAAGGATAAACAATGCAGATTTATTTTTTACTTACATTTATTTATCATATTTACCAGGGGTATGATTAATTCTGGGCCCGACTGTATATATATATATTATAAATTATTTTAATCCTGTTCTTTTTTTGTTTGTTTGTTTTGTAACAATATTATAATAAAAACACACAATCACCTCATTAGCTGAACTATTCTAGGTGAAAAATTAGACAGTGGAGATTGAATTTTCTCATTTGAACTGAAGAAAAGTTGTGTGAATATAGCTTTTTAGCCCCCGCCACCTCTTATAACTGTAGGGGGCTTTTAATGAAGATGGCTCACTAACAACCCGAGAAAAGCCCGCTTATTTTGCCTAAAACTGAGTCATCTAAATGAATTATCTAAAACAATTTACTCCCCACCCCGTGTCGTACAGGAGACAGAACAACACAACGCATACTCATTAATGCATGTAGGCTGATTATACATTTCAACCCTGATAGCACCTGAACTACTCAATTAACAATTACAAACAAGCAATTCACTCAAGGACTGGAAAGCTTACCCTTTGTTTGTCTGAAAAGAAACCCTTTCTTGCGTCTGATACAGTATGCTTACAGACCGTAGATTTACCCCTGGTTTACCAAGACAAGGCTTAAGCCTAGTCCCATAATAAAATGCACGTTTGAAATGAAAGCAACTTGCAATGACATATCTTAAAATAAATCAGTGCCTATTTTTTGGCTCAAAATGCACACCAGTAATGTTTTCTAAGGCATGTTTTTTAAAGCTACACTTAAACTAAGGCCTGATCTAGGTTTGTCTGTGAAACCTGGCCTTAGATCTTAAGCACAGATATTTCAGACGCTCTGAAATCCATGATTAAACATATTAGCTTCTTCCTGAGGAAAAAAAAATGCTTCAAAAAATGTAAAAAAAAGATATATACTGTATATATATATAATCAGCGTTTCTCACATATTTAAACCAGAACTTTGAGAACTCTTTTATTGGATTGTGTCGTTGTAGTCCACGACGACATTATGAATATTAGGGGCAGACAGGGGGCACAGAGCTGAGACTAGGTGTGACTTTTGGCGGTGATGGCTGGGAGATCATCCAATGGGCACCTGCTGCTGCTGCCACCAGCGTCTGTGTGGAGAGAACAAAAGGGGCCATTGAGCACATAACAGCTGTTGCACTGTTGCCTGCCTGAGGGCCCCCCAGACCCCAGGGTCTGTCTGCTGGGGGAAGCTACCTCCTCCTCTTCAACGTTGACCTCCATACAGCTCTTTTAAGAGACTGCATGGTAACCATCCCGCTGCCACAATGTTAAATACAGAACAGTGACGTGGGCCTCCAACCTCAGTAAGTTTAGGATCTTAGCATGAGGGACACAAAGTGCGCTAATTGATCGTTAAAAGGGATAGTTCACCCAAAAATGATGTCATCATTTACTCACCCTCATGATGTTCCAAACCTGTGAGTTTGTTTCTTCTGTTGAACAAATAAGGTATTTAGAAGAATGTTGGCAACCAGACAGTCGACAACACACATTGACTTCAATTGTTTGTTTCTACTATGCAAATCAATAGGTGTCGTGTCGTCAACTGTCTGGGTTAACCACATTCTTCAAAATATCTTCTGTTTGTTCTGAAGAAACTCATACAGGTTTGGAACAATTTGAGGATAGGTAATGATTTTTTTTTTTTTTTTTTTTTAGGTGAACTATCCCTTTAAAGGTGAGAAGCCTTAATCTACCTCATAATCAAACCCTATTGTTATTAACTGCTTAACCTGCCACAAAACAGGTTTTTAAATTAACCCCATCTGCATTGCATGTTGTATAACGGTCAGTTGTTGAATAACAATCTACATGTGTAATGTTTCAATACAAATCTCATTGAGCAGTTTGCCATTTTCAACAACTGAAATAATAAAGCCCAAACCAAAATTGCCTTAAGCAGATTCCAGTCACCAACACAGCACCCAAACACTGCCAGACCAAGGCAGCAGAGCGATTGTCAGTGTGGAATGTAATGAATTACCCTTGTCTCAGCAGCAGCTGTTGAGGAGCTCACAGACCTCAAGTCCACACTGTTAAAATTTTCGTTGTGAATTTACAGTAAATAATTGGATAAATTTTGCATTACTTTCACAGTAAGGATTACAGTAATATAATGTGAAATATGCTCACAGCAATTTACTGTAATTTTATATCTGTGATATTACAGTACATTACTGGGGAATTACAATATATATATATATATATATATATGAAGAGTTTAGATGCAAAAGCCTCTAAATGCCATTTGAAATTTTCTTCTTTAATAATGATTTTTATCAAACTTTTATATTTAAGTTCAGTAATTTCACCTAAATAACAATTAATAGATAAATATCATTGCCATTAAAGTGAAATTACTGAACTTAAATATACAAGCTTGATAAAAATGATCATTCTAGAAGAAAATTTCAAATGGCACTTAGAGGCTTTTGCATCTGAACAATTCATATAAACACACACACACACACACAATGTAACCCCCCCCCCCCCCCCCCAACAACAAACAACTCTGAGGTTAAGTCAATGTTAGCCCAATGGCATATTTATTAACACATATGTTTCAATGTACAGCAAGAATTTAAGAAATTAATTTTTTTTAGAATTTCAACTTTAAGATTGTTTTCATAAAAGCCATTTTAAAATGCAGAAAATGCAGAGACATTGTGCAAACTTTTAACTGTGGAGCCTGACAAGTAACGTTACCACTGCTAAAAAACACTATGACGCCCACTCAAAGTCAATTAGTTTCCTCAATAGGGTGCTAATATGAGGGTTCATTGTGGTCCTCTTCTTGGTCTTCGATCCTCTTTCGGGATTGATGCCCAGGAAGCACCTGTTAATAAGCAAAGATAGTTTCAGTTCTTAACACTTTTCACTCGTGTTTGTTGTTCTAACCGAATCCTGGTCCAACGCACAAGGTGTGCACGGATCTACACTTCGGATTCTGACCGGGAATAGTAACGTTAGACCACCGATAATCTTTGAAACACTTATTTCAACGTGCGATTTGGGACGTAAGTTACTAATTCTGTTTTCGAATACTATTTAGGACGGTTAGTATGTGAATTGGGACGCAGAAATGTATTAACTTAAACAGCTAACGGTTAGCCCTGCTAATCTATGATAACATTGACTAAGTACAGAAATGTGCACACATAAATAGTAATGTTTGTCCCATCACTGATTTTATAAACTCTACAAAACCAGATTTGTCTAAACGGTGATAGACATGAAAATAGCAAAACTCGATCGTCATTAACTATTAGTATGCTGTGAGAACTTTCAACAATTCCGGGCAGCTGCTAACAAAATGTGAACTGTGTCATGCGATAAACGTTTATTTGAAAGTAAATATTATCATATTAAAATAAAATGGGTGTAAGTGCTGCAAACATGCATGCTTACCTTCTCCGTTAAGCCCGAAATAGAAGAGGCGGCGGGAGACGACGGAGCCTGCAACAGTTCGGTTATGTCACATGACTTCCCAGGGCATAGGCTACAGTATTTCACTGCAATAATACTGTTTGCTGCTGTGAAATCCTTATTTTTTTTCACTGTGTTGCTGTGATATTACAGACCTTGCTGTGACATAACAGCAGGTTTTAAATTGCAATGTTTTATTGTAAAATAAGAGTTAATGCTGTAAAATCCAAGGATATTGTAGTTTTTACATGTATTCATTGGATATTACAGGGAAATGTAATCACAACAAGTTACTGTGAAATAATACTGTTAATTATTGTGAAATGCTGGTAATTTTTAACAGTGCAGCCTTCTGATCGTGACAGACAAAGCATCACACTGACATCTAGTGGATCATGTCCTTGGTCTCTCCTTAACACTCATTCACAGACTGCAAGCAGAGGGCACTGTGTATGTAAATGCACGAGTGAGACAGCCATTACAGGCCCTGTTCACCATTTTGTTTCATAGATCTCATACATGATGTTACACTTCAGTACCTGCTATTTTTGACTCCTATTGTAAAACAGCCAGCAAGCGCACATTTTTTTCTTCGAACTTCTTAGATTGCTTTTTGGTAATTAGACGACTAAAGAACAATTCAAGTTCCATTAAAAGCAAAATTAGGCTGCCTATGTACAAGCATGTCAAATTACACATGCTGGAGTTTTTCCCCATGGAGTTAAATGTGTTCCACTACAGGGTGTAGCCTTGTTAGTAAGTTAAATGGTTGTCATTTAACACATTTTTATTGTATTTTTTTTTTTTTTTCATGAAATGTTTTATCTTTGTTGCTCATTCATCTCTCATATAGAAATGTTAATTGGTAACATGTTAAACACAATTTTCACAAAAGGTTTAAAATATTGAAAGTTAATTAGAATAGAATATAATAGAGATTATATAATAGAGATTTATGCATTATATATATATACACACAAATGTTGAGTATCATTTTAGAAGTCAAGAAACAAATAAGTATGGTAATCATAAAAACTGTCTGAGACAGTGGCTTTATTTAGAAATATGATCTAGAGAAATGTAGCAGCATCTCATTTAAAAACATACCTATAAAAAGTGAATGGTCAAATTTGGTTAAACACAGGAAGCGAAAATCTTAAATATAAAAATCAGAGTCCAAGCTTCTGAAGCTGGTGATTTCTCTGGTCCATTCTGGCAGTGGAGACTTGAGTCCCCGTGACAACCTGTCAGGATTTTGCTGGTCCAAATGGCAACCTGAGCAACAGAAACCCATGCCCATGTTTGTGTGGGGATCTCTGTGGTCATCTTCCCATCTGCTCCAGTCCCACCCTCTTTTAGCAGCAATCAGAGCCAGTTACAGCTCTGAGATTTTGGCAGGTAGTCTACATTTGTAAACTAAAAAAAAAAAAAATAATAATAAAAAAAACAAAAACAAAACAGACCCTTTGGACCATTTAAAAAAAAAAAAAAGAAAAAAAAAAAAAAAAAGACATTTTTGGTCTTTTCAGTCTTATGCATGTGAACTGATAGCTGGGTTTGTTCCGTAATGCCATTCATTTGTTGATTTTCACTTCAACTCAGTCAGGGCTGTCCTATTTCATACATTAGGGAAGTCAGGAGACAGTGTTCTCGGGCTTCTCGCTACTGTGTGGTGGTGTGAGCACTCCAGAGGGAATCGGAGACCTCTGACTGCTCTCGATGTCCACTTGCTGATATGAGTGCGCCTTCCCCTGAAGAACAAGAAAACAAATAAGAAAACTTTAGGCAAGAGGAAATGAAAGCGAGAAATGTTGTGGCTTTGGCAAACGCATGCACAATTCTTCAGTCAGAACAAGATAAGACAGTAGTGTTGAAACCCCAAGTTTTGATTGTGCATGCAAACTGGCCTGAGAAAGTCAAGTTATGGCCTAGCGTCAAATGAGAAAAAAAAAAAAAAAAAAAAAAAAAAAAAAAAAAAAACTTACTAGCCATTCCAAGTAAGCCACATGGGTCTGGATATTGTGCATGTCATCTGCTGCTATTCCTTTGAAGGTCTTGAGGGCTGAGCTGCCTGCCTCACGAATAGACATGGCGAAAGGGACCATCCATCTCACACACTGCTCCAAATCACACCACTTCAGCCCTGGAACAAAACATGCATAAATATGTCATTTACATTTTATAGTATACATGCTCCATTTAATAAAGCTAATCAAGAAATTCACAAAATAAAATCATTAAAAATCAAACCTGAAACTTTCATCACTAGCTCTAGAGAAGAGAAGTGGAAGAGTGCAGAAGCTGCGATGAGGCTGTAAGAGAACTCCAGACTTCTTGCATCCAGTACACACAGATCCAAGAGCTACATAAAAAAAGACAGACACAATAAGATACAACTCTCTCCTCTGTCCACCATCACCTCCACGCTAACTGCTGATGATTTTGCCAACTTTTTCCACAAACAAAACTAGAAATATCAGCAGTCAGTTCTCAGCTTCACACACAGGAACCCAGACTAACCTCTCCCACAGCCAAAAACCTTATCTCCTCCATCACTCCACTGACCGAGGAAGGATTATGTAAACTTCTCTGCAGTCATCCTACCACCGGTCCTCTAGACCCCATACATTCACACCTCCTAAAAGCATCTCTCCACACTTCTACCTGCTCTCCCACACATTAACTCATTCCTCCACACTGGCATTTAACTGCCACTGCTTAAACATAATACTGGCCACTGCTTAAAGTAAAAAAAAAAAAGTTAAACATTACTTCGTGAATTACAGACCTGTCTCTCTCCTATCATTCATCACAAAAACACTTGAACAAGCTGCTTTCAACCAAGTATCATCTTTCCGGTCTCTGAACAACCAGCTGGATGTCAATCAATCTGGCTTCAAGAAAGGGCATTCAACCGAGGCCGCATAGCAGTCAGTCCCCGAAGCCCTGAGGATCACAAAAGCTGCTTCCAAATCATCAGTTCTCACTGTGAATCATCAGATCCTTCTGTCCACCCTCTCATCACTGGGCATCACAGGTACTCCTCTCCACTGGTTTGAGTTCCATCTCAAAGATAGGTCCTTCAGGGTCACATGGAGACACATTTTTTTTCTGGCGTTTCAGATTCTCGCTGATTAGCTAACAGCGGTCATTGAACGATCGGCTGGCGATCCTGTTAAAAACTTCTCCATTTGACAGAGCAGAGGGTTGCGGCTTCAGGACGGTCGCAATGGCACAGACTTCGCTGCTCATATCAAGTTTAAGGCATTGACACTTGCTTACAGATTTACCAGACTCAGCTCTGTCCTACTTCCACTCACTACTACGAGTCTACAAACCCACCAGAAGCCTAAGATCAGTCAATGAGCGACGGCTAGTGGTACCATCACAGAGAGCCTCAAAATCACGTTTCCAGAACATTCTCATTCATGGTTCCATGCTGGTGGAATGATCTCCCCACCCTCATCCGGAATACCTGACAGCATTCAAAAGACAACTGAAAACTCTTCTCTTCCCTGAGCACCAAAAAAAAAAAAAAAAAAAAAAAAAAAAAAAAAAAAAAAAAAAAAAAGTTTCCTTTAAATCCTTGCTTATCTGGCTTATGCTACTATGAGCAATGTCTGAACTTTGCATTTTGAGCACTTAATGCACTGTTTTTTGCCTCTTCACAATGACATGCTTGGTTTAGTCCTCAGTTCTAAGTCGCTTTGGATAAAAGAGTCTGCTAAATGACTAAATGTAAATGTAAAACCTAAGCAAAGAGAGACATCTGCTGAGACGAAGAAAAAAACAGCCTGAACACCAGCTCAAGTTCAACATGTATACAAAAACTTTTAAGCAAGGAAGTATTACTATGGATGCTTTTTGTCTCTATACAGTTTTTTTTTTAACCCAGACAACTTTTACATCCTAGATTAATCATTCAAATAATATGGTTTGCTATAGATCCTTGATATTCAGCTCAATACCTTTAGATGAAAAACTAAGACCTTGGAATTTCTGTTGTTCACAGTACGTTTTCAGTATGTTCTTATATGATTTTAATTCTGGTAAAAAGGCTACAATCTTCTATTCCATTCACAAAACATTATTTTATTTAATTATATTTATATAGTAACTTGTAGTAAAATGAGTGAAGTCACATGAATATGAAAGCTGTTTCCTAAAAGGACTTGTCATTACTTATACTCATGTCATTTCAAACCTGTATGATTGAGTTTTATAAAAAATAAAATTTTAAAAATCTCTTATTTTGTGTTCCACAAAAGAAG